TTTGTTGGGAGAGTATAAAAATTATATAAATCGATTCAGATTCTGAATTTCAAATTCAATTATGCTGGCGTTCTGTATACTGAAAAAATGAAGATTTTTTTTGTGTCACACGACTTTGTTGCATTTAATCGATCACAGAAATAAAAGCGTTTAAAGCAAAGAAAATTCGATAGAAGTAAAATGTTTTTTTTTTTCTTTTTTCCTGACAGTTCTTTTGGTTCATTGCACTACTTACACAACAAACCCACATACCTAGTCACTCACTAATCTGCGCAGAAAATCGCCAAAGTCCACTTATAACCCAAAAGTTACTCATCTGCTTGACAATCAGTTTTCTTTGTAAATATTTGTATTAGTTTCTCAATAAATTGCAGTGACTGCACCCACTCTCATTAAATTCCATTATTCGCACACAATCACTGTGTATATTTCCAGAGAGGCATAGAGTTAGTAGCAGTCAGGCAATTGACGCAATGCGATGACGACTGCCGGCAATTAAAATTTATTCAGGCAATTCAAATGACATTTGTGCAAACAAAAAAAAAACGCTCGTTTGCCGGGTTTGTGTGCTTAATGAATGAGTGAATTATGAAAAGAAATGTTTTGATTCGAACTGCGAATTGCTAATTTCACTATGAAGATATTTTAAGCAACTGTGACAACTCTTAATTAATGTATTTTTAGCTATGCTCTTTGACCTTATTTCTAAAGCGTCTCGTACTAGTCTTAGTTAGTATATAATTATTAAATTGTTCAATAAAGGCTTTGAAAAGCTACAGGGCAAGACGTACAGAGAGCAACTAGCAATACTCGTACACGTAAGTTTTAGCGTCTATTTATTTACGTCAGTTTTTTGTGCGATTCATCACTCTCAAAGTTTTGGTGAATCGTAGTAAATACATCGCGTGCAATAGCAAATGCATAAATGAATAATACAAAATTATGATTATAAATAATAATATGTGCAGTGTGTTGTTGTGCCACAAAATACAATGCGACGACTTTGTAATCAAGTAAACAATGTGAACTGAGTTTTGTTTTTGTTTCGCTTAAATTTAAATTAACTCATCACTGCAGTATATTTTTATACCACGCACTGGCTTTATTGGTTATGGCGGTCAAAGGTGACTGACAGTCATTGGCAATGTAGACAAAGGAATTAATGTTGTTAAAAGTGCCCAGCCACATACACATTTACATATATATTTAAACCTTTATACATATGTAAATGTTATGATTTATGGGCTGTACTATGCATTTATAGATTACCAAGTTATATGCGTACTTTAAATTTATGTAGAAATATATACATTTGTAATGCAAACAATCGAACTAAGTTTTACAAACATACATACATTATATATTATATATGCATATGTACATATTGTCACCTATAATGCAAAATATGGTAACATGACTTTTCGTAAGCGAAACGATATACTAGAAACCACTCATATAGAAACAAAATTTGAGTTTTGGTTATAAAATTATTATATATTGGGTATATCTTGGTTACATACATCTGAGAGCGGAAGCTGAATATTTTTTGCTACAATTATATGTGTAATGTGGCTTTTTTGATGATACGTTTTTTTGCATTTTAGGTGATGACATGCACTAAACGATGACCCACAGTCATTAATTTTCCGCCTCATGGATGTTGCCGCTCACCCGTTTTAACTCAACACTCAAATTTAAACTGTGACAATTTCACATTTTTATACTCTCGCAACAAAGTTGCTAAAGAGAGTATTATAGTTTTGTTCACATAACGGTTGTTTGTAAGTCCTGAAACTAAAAGAGTTAGATATAGGGTTATATATACCAAAGTGATCAGAGTGACGAGTAGAGTTGAAATCCGGATGTCTGTCTGTCCGTCCGTGCGTCTGTCCGTCTGTCCGTCCGTCCGTGCAAGCTGTAACTTGAGTAAAAAGTGAGATATCATGATGAAACTTGATACACGTATTTCCTGGCTCCATAAGAAGATTAAGTTCGAAGATGGGAAAAATCGGCCCTCTGCCACGCCCACAAAATGGCGAAAACCGCAAACCTATAAAGTGTCATAACTAAGCCATAAATAAAGATATTAAAGTGAAATTTTCACAAAGGATCGCATTAGGAAGGGGCATATTTGGGCGTAATTTTTTTGGAAAAGTGGGCGTGGCCCCGCCCCCTACTAASTTTTTTGTACATATCTCGRAAACTACTATAG